AGTTCACAAGACTTGGCTTTCAACCCTAGAGCAGTTATATATTCACTCATATCACAGTAATGTCTTGAAGACAGATGCAGCTTTGATTAAAGTAAATGGAGTCTTTGGTCCATGGAAAGAAACTGATAAATCTTCTAAGGACTGTTGGTATATCGAAAGCCTGGCTCACCTTGTTAGAAATATAATAACTGATACCGTTTCACCTGGATTTGTGACACATGATTTCACTACTCAATGTCAGAACAACAAGGAAAGAGGACGAATCACCACATCATGGAATGAAAGTTATACAAGAAGCCTTGAAAAGAAAAGAGATGTAATTTCAGGAGCTTTGTTAATTTTTAAAGAAAGTAAAGCTTACTGGTCGTCTCATCTTCAATTTGATGATTATAACTATTTCAAACCTTTTCTTATATCAGCAATGAAGAGTGCTCCTGAAGCAGACATTGTTATAATTCACAATGCATTGAGTAATGACATTGTCAAGAAGTTACTAGTTGCCTGTCCATCATGCCATTTCAAGCACGAAGACCCAGTGAATATGCGCATTGTCCACGATCAAAGAATGTACCTTCTTTATGATTATTTGCTGAATAACCCCGACGTAGGTTATTTGGTGACTTCAGACATTCGTGATGTTGATTTTTATGCTGATCCATTCAAAGTAATGAAAGAAATTGGTGACTACATTTATGCTGGTTATGATGTGGCTTTCTATAAAGAAAAAGTGAAGACTATGCCATGGCTGCGATATATGCTGCCCATATGTTTTCCTGATCTAAAAGATGCAGAAAAGAATATAATTTCAAATTTGTATGGAATATTCAACAGTGGTACACTAGGTGGTTCAAGACATGCTCTCCTTACGCTATTGAGTCATATGATCCTTTATCTTGATATAGCAAGTCTTGATGGAGTCTGTGACATGGTAACAACCAATGTTGTGCTTCATTTGCAACTATATGATCACGTTTATGCTGGTTACCCATTCAGTGGATCATTTCTGAATGGGATTTTTGGTCAGCAGGGAGCTGCAGTCTGGCACAAAGTTGGGCGGGATTATAAAGGCATAAGATAGACCTTATTGAGGAACTTATCATACACATATTTCACCTCTGCACACTGTACATGTACAAACCTCAATCTTAATATAAACCCTTTAGTCATGTGTTCAAGCTATGCTATAGTTTGAGTATTGGTATAATAGCTATTATTGTGTTTTAATTTATATTTATAATTACCCTAGCCGCTCATGTATTTAATAATGACAGATGATTTTAATTTATAGTCCCTCTAATTAATGATTTCATGTTCTACTGTAGTCGTTTCTGAGTCACTTAGCAGTCTTTAAGCAAAGTGGCAACAAAAGCAACAGTTCAATATTTTTTAAATAAAAAATAAATGTCATAAATCTGATAAATCGTCTAATAACTGTTGGTATATTGAAAAAGTTGCTCAACTTGTAGCTGAAAACACAATCATGTTGTCATCAGGATTTGTAATGACTGATTTATTGCTAAATGAGAATAAGATGCTACACTCACTGTATATTGTAGATCTATAACAATGCTTGCATGGTTGGACTATTATTGCTTTTGTAGGCACTTGGCAAGAGAAACTTCATTCTCTTGTATGCTGTTATGCCAAAACAATTAGCCAAAATTATTAACTGTTGATGAATGATTATTATTGAAACAATATCGTGTACATATAACACATGTAAAAAAAATAACATAAAATCAATAATTAGCATGACACATCTGCTTCATGATGCCTTTCCTTGTTACTTCAAAGTACCTGCTCATTGTGAATGTCTGTGACTTCCACGATTTAGTCTTTTTTTCTGGAAACCTATAGTGGTGTGTTAGGCCTAGTTTTATGGGAACATAGAACTCTTTTGTGTAGCCTTTTTGCCAGGGCTCAAATATGTAATGACACCAAGCAGTGTTGACAGCAAGTGGCTTCACAATAAGTTTATGATATTTGTATTGATACGGAGGAAAACAGCTACGCTTTGTATTCATAAAGTAACGAGGCCACTTCATGCCGGGACATTTCGTAGAGTGTGCTACCTCCGGTAAAGGAATACCATCATTCCACATGAAGGCATTGTAAAGGATAAAAGAAGCAGAGTTCCTCGCCCCGGCCATTTTTTCCAAATCCAAGAGCATCTCCGGTATAGTGAGGTGCTTCTGGGGCACAAAAAACTCATCAACATCCATGAGTCCAAGATACTTAACACGATTAATATTTCTGAAAATGCATTCGGAAATGACACCTGTCTGTCCCCAAATTTTAGTATACTCTTTAATGTAGGGGATGCCCATCTTCCAGTCTAGTACCTCGACAACGCCCCGCCCAATGTAAGGAAGCATGAGCTCGTAATAAGACTCGGACACATCCTGAAGGTAGACAGTGATGACTTTGGCACCCAAAGCAATATTGAGCTCAACCCAGTCAACCAAAAGCTGTGGGTCGGTCAAATTGTACAAAGCCTGATGCAAGCAAACTCCAAAGTCGTAGTTGCTTTTTTGCTTGCGTGTGTCTTTAATTAGAATAGTTTTGGAGTGACCACCAGAGCAGGTTGAGTCGGTAGTTAAAGTGGCTGAGATCGGAGATAAGGAGGAGTCAATCATCTTAGTGTTTCTCATTAAATAGTGAACATAGAGCTCTCTCACTCCATGCCTCAGATCAAGCTCCCCACTGTGTCCCCAGTACTCTAATCTAGTGCATACAGAGCTTCCATCATCGTAGACTAGCCGTGCATAAATAAGTGGTTTTATTTTTTCTCTGTCGTCATGCATTGTGATAAAAGCAACAGCTGGATAGTTTGGATCTCTTGTGTCAAAATATGCCATACGCCTTGCCTATGGAGAAATAAAAGAATACAAATCAATTCATTATGTGTGTTACTGTGATCATAAAGGATTCTATTTAAGGGTTCTTCTTGGTGAGATTGGTCCAAAGTCCCTGTACTATTAGTAACGCGGTGACGTTACTAAGTAGGATTCACCCCAAACAAAATGGCTGCCACAACTTTTGCAGCTATGCTATATACACATGTAGTGCAGGGACTTTTGAGCAATCAAAAACCTGATGGACTTTCGATTATAAATGTCACCCATGTATCAAGGCTTCAGCATGAATGAAACATTCTTCATGAATTAATG